ATTTGTATTTTGATCTAAAAAAAACAATCAAAGCTGAATGAAAACGAACTAGCCTGGCTCCTAATTAAGCCTCCTAAATGCTAAAAACCACGGACTTTCACATTCTCCCTGGTCTGCTCGGTCAAGTTGCGGGGCAAGTTAAAAGCTCAGTTTCCCACTATGTTTCAGTCTACTGCTTTATTCGTCACCACCTTGCAAGCTACCGCCGTCACTCCAAATTACCATATCCAAGGCGGATCAGGTTGAGCGGAGACTACGGCATTACTAAAATATTTAAAAATATGAGTCGCAATCATCGTCTCACAGCAGCTCCGATTAAGCAGCCGCGATGCTATTCCTTTTCGATGAAAGAGAATGACTTTACTGAAGCAGGAAATGCCTTGACCTGTTCATAAAAAGTTTGGTCGTTCCCATTCATAAGTGTATCGGCCAGTCATAGCAGAACAAAAGCATGAACCAGTGATGTAATGTTAAATGGTCCCTGTTCAGCGCCAGTCTCCTCTGCAATGCCTGAGCACAAGGCGCGAAAGCGTCGCGTAGGTGAACCGCACCGGAAAGAGCCTCCAAGAAAAATAGCCACACCAGAAATGTTGGGAAAATTTCACTATATTTTGACGTTCCCCCGGTAAAAGTGTACAATTTGAACGTTGTGAGAAAACAGTGGATCGAATATCGGCAGGCATTGTTGAGATGCAAGTGAAACTCGATGATCTTGAGAACAGAAGCAGACGTAATAATTTGGTTGTATATGGGTTGAAAGAAAGTACTGGTGAAACAACTGAATCACTTCGTAAAACTGTTCTTGACGATATTTTTACTGCTAAAATGGGTGTCACCTTAATGAGTGTTGAAAGAATTCACCGCATTGGAGCAAAGAAGCGGGGGAAGAACAGACCAGTCATTCTACGGCTTTACAACTTTCGAGAAAAAGCTGATCTCTACAAAAATGCACACAAATTGAAAGATTCTGGCTTATCAATCAGTGACGACTATTCCAAGCAGGTGCGCGAAAAAAGAAAGCACTTATGGGAATATGCAAAATCAAAAAAGCAGATGGTCACACAGTGAAACTTTCTTTTGATAAGCTTATCATTGACGGTAGGACTTACACTTGGGATAGCGTTGCGCAAGATGTCACAAAAGTAAGACGTTCGTGACGCGATAACAAAGAAGTGAGACAAAAGCCCCAAGGTGCCCGAGATATTGTCCTTCTGATGATGAATTGCCGAAGTGTTAAGAATAAAGCTGATGAGCTGGGTGGCCTTATTGGGTCAGTGAACGCTGACTTAGTCATTGGGTCAGAATCTTGGCTTGACGAAGCAGTTTCGAACTCTGAAATGTTTCCTTGCAATTTTCAAACATATCGAAAAGACCGGTCAACGCATGGTGGTGGTGTTTTCATTCTTGTGAAGGATTCTTTGATGTCCGAAGAAATTTTTATTGATAACAATGAAACTGAATCTGTTTGGTGCCGAGTAGTGCAAAGTAATCGTTCTAGTTTCATTGTTGGTGCTTTCTATCGGCCTCCTGTCTTTGAACCGAATGTTATGCGTCAGCTGAGAAAAATTGCCTGCACATTTTCTAAAGAATGTGTCGTTCTTGCTGGTGACTTTAATTTACCGGATGCTGAGTGGAATAACGGTAATTGTGTCTTAAAGTCTCAGGCAGCGACATACTGTGAATTGAAAACGTTGACTGACGTGCTCGGCCTCATGCAGTATGTTTCCAGTCCTACGCGAGGTGACAACATTCTGGATTTGTTGTTTTGTAATACCCCTGATGTCATTAATGAAACACACGTTATTCCCGGTATTAGTGATCACAACGCCGTCTTTGCAAAGCTGACAAGATCTCGGGTAAATACAAAGAAATGCGAATCTAGGAGAATCTTCTTTTATAGTAAAGCAAACTATCAGCAAATATCAGCTGGTCTTGAGCAACAATTTCTGTCTTTTGAATGCAGTGCAGACGAAGCAACTGTTGAGCAGCTATGGCAAGTGTTTAAGGAACGCATTACTGGGCTCATTCGGCGTCACGTCCCGAGCGTCTCAAGCGATAAACTGAGTAAAATTAAGAAACCTTGGATTAAGGGGCATCTTATTCAGCTTATCAAAAAGCGCAAGAGGGCTTTTTCCCGATACTGCCAAAAAAAATCCCCTGAAAATTTTAATAAAATGAAAGATTTGACATCACTTTATAAAATGGAACTGAAAGAAACCAAGAAAAAGTATTTTAAGAGTCTGGCCGCTGACTTTTCTAATAAGAAAAGGTTTTGGAAATATATGAGACGATGTGGTACTGAGAAGGTTAGCCCACCAAACCTACGTTACGGTGGCGAGATTGTAATTGAGGATCGAGATAAAGCCACACTTTTTAACGACTTCTTTAAATCGGTCTTCCGCCCACCTACACAAGTGATTGTCACGAATAAAAAAGAACAATATTTGCCTATGGGTGAGATAGAGCTTTCATTCAATGGCATAATGAAGTTGTTACAGCGCATTGACGAAGGTAAAGCAACTGGCCCTGATGGCATATCACCAAGAGTTTTAAAACTTTGCTCTGAGGCAGTGGCTCGTTACCTTTATGTTATCTATAAAAAATCACTCGATGAAGGCAAGCTTCCTGATGATTGGAAAATAGCTAATGTTGTGCCAGTTTTCAAAAGTGGTTCTAAATCAGACGTATCAAATTACAGACCAATTTCTTTGACGCCGATTTGTTGTAAAGTACTTGAACATGTTCTTTTTTCTGCTTTAATGAATCACCTGACTTCAATTAAATTTTTTAATCCTAAACAACACGGATTTAGACAGGGTTTTTCATGCACAACCCAATTAATTGAATTCTATCATGATATAGCATCAGTTTTAGATAATCGAGGACAGATTGATTGTTTATTTTTAGACTTCAGAAAGGCTTTCGATACGGTATCACACTCTATTCTGATTCAAAAACTGCAGAACTTGAACATTCATCAAACCATTTGCCGTTGGATTGCGGACTATTTAACTTCAAGAAAACAAAAGGTTGTGCTTGGTGGATCTTGTTCGTGTTTAGCTTCGGTGACATCAGGGGTACCTCAGGGTTCCGTACTCGGTCCGCTTCTCTTCCTTGTGTTTATTAATGATATTTCGGATACAATTAGGTGTCGTATCAGAATGTTTGCTGACGACTGTGTGTTGTATACTGAATTGACCGACCAAACGGATTCCACCCAGCTTCAGGATGACCTTAATCACGTGGAGGCATGGTGTAAAAATAATGACATGGTATTAAACACGAATAAATGTGTTCACGTCAGTTTCACCAAAAAGGTTAATAGATTTACAAATCAGTACATATTAAACAATGAAGTTATTAGGTATGAACACAAATATAAGTATTTGGGTGTCACGCTTTCTGAGGATGGGGGATGGTCTGAGCACATTGGCAATGTTGTAAGTAGAGCGGGAAAAGCCCTAGGCTTTTTACAAAGAAATCTTAAACATGTAACCAAGGAGGTTAAACAGGCCGCATATTATGCCTATGTGAGACCAATACTAGAATACGCCTGTCCTGTGTGGGATCCGTTTAACAAAATACATATTCATGAATTAGAGCGCATTCAGTCGATGGCAGCAAGATTTGTTCTGGGAAAATATGGCCGAACTGAAAGCTCCCGTTGTATGAAAAGAGAACTTAATTGGCAATACTTACAAGATCGAAGACGTAATCTAAGATTAAAACTATTTTATTCGATATATAACAATAAAACGGGCATTAATGCTTCAGATTATTTAAAAAAAGCGTATTATCAATCCTCCCGTCATGATCACAAATTTAAAGTACGGCCATACAACCCCAGAACGGATCTTTTTAAGCATTCTTTTTTTCCGCAATCCATTGTTGAATGGAACACGTTACCAGCCGATGTAGTTGGCCGCAAGACTGCGGATTCATTTTATGAGGCTCTGTGCCCCCCGCAATAATGCCTAAGTGGCGCTGCGGGTTTTGTTTCAAATAAAAAAAAAAAAAAAAAAAAAAAAATGTTTTCATTTCCTCGTAACAATATGATTGAGTGATTACTGTGGTGAACAAAAACTTCGTCTTAGTTGTTCGTTTCCCCAACATGCAGCCAACACTGAGCACTGTTGAAAGTGACGGGGGAGAGGGGGCTAACGGGGGGTGGGTCTTAACCCCCCCCCCCCCTGACTTCTTTCAGTGGGCGGGCTAGCACCCCTCTTGCATCCCCCCCCCCCCCCCACGGCTGATACGCCTATGTTCGTCATCCATTTACGTCCCGTAATACCAAATCTTGTATATGTGAAGCTAGCAAAATGACCACGAGCGCACCATGAGCGTGGCTCGTAGTCATGGCTAGTAATAACATGAAAATTATGACATGCATGTCATGATTTCTCCGTTGGAGTCTGTCACTATGTTCGCTAAGCAGTCATGTCATGCCATACCGTTGCAAAATGTGATGTGAACGAAACCACCGCAATAGCAGCAAGGCTAAGTAAAATGTAAATCATGACATCCATGACGCACTTATGCCATGATTTTCATGTTATGACTAGTCAGTTGTGCTCGTCATACAGTCGTGTTATGCCTTACTAATTTTGGTACCGGATACCTTTATTGAAACGGCCAGGAGAGTTAAAGTCGTAGGCGACTAGATAGCAAGTTTTAGTATAACCTCCTTGCTAGATAGATAGATAGATAGATAGATAGATAGATAGATAGATAGATAGATAGATAGATAGATAGATAGATAGATAGATAGATAGATAGATAGATAGATAGATAGATAGATAGATAGATAGATAGATAGATAGATAGGATAGATAGATAGATACGCTCAAAGTCGCCGAAGTTCGCTAAGAAATGCTTCGCATTAAAAAAAAAAATTCTATTTGATTGGCGCGCTGAGAGCACACGTGGGTGGCGGCGGCGCACCCATCAGCTGACGCCGGCGGCGGCGCGTGGACGTCCCGGCGCACACCACTGCCACCGGTGAGCACACCAGAACACCTACGCACTTCTCTTGACATGCGTTAGGTGTTCTGTGTGCGTATGCCATGCCGTCTTGTTGACTCAAAGGTCAGCGTACAGCCAGCTTCTATTTGTGTTTACGCTGCTTTGTGAGCTGGTGTGGGGCAACACTGCTAGGAGTCATGTCTAAAATAGCAATGCCGCAAGAAACCTGCCTGGAAGATTGTAAACAACCGGTCGTCTTCAGGCATGCGTTGTCTTCGTGGGAGTGCTCGTCTTGGACTCTGTCAGACTGGGCTTCCAAAACCCGAAATGTGTCTTTGAAGTTCAGAGTTGGACTTAAATCGGCTGCAGGTACTGCTCTGCTGTAAATGGGAAGGCTCTTGTGTTTTCTTTTTATTTCTTCACAGTGTGGACGTAACTTCAAGGCGTAACTTCGCGATGTTTCTTTTCAGTGCCGTGCGCGGTCAATCACTTTAATTCGTTAATGTTGTTTCGTCTTCTCTTGTGATAAGAAGTACATGCAGAACCGGGGTGCCTAAATAATATTATGGATTGATTGATTGATTTGTGGGGTTTAACGTCCCAAAACCACCATATGATTATGAGAGACGCCGTAGTGGAGGAATCCGGAAATTTCGACCACCTCGGGTTCTTTAACGTGCACCCAAATCTGAGCACACGGGCCTGCGACATTTCCGCCTCCATCGGAAATGCAGCCGCCGCAAAAAAATAATATTATGGAGGTCTCAATAATATCATGGAGTACTTTCAGAAACTGTATCCATGATGTCTCGTGCTAAAGCGCGTTAATTTCACAGTAAGCGCATAAATTTGGTGCCAAGCTTCATAGCGGACATCTGAGCTGTTGCCATGACTTTGAAAATAAAAGTTTCCCCTCACATTTTCGCAGGAGCCCCTCGGTGGGAAACAGAAGGTGCGCGTTCAACTGCTACAATAGAACAGTTCTTGCAGTGGATTTCCGGGCACACTGACAAACAGAACGAGCTGGCTACTGTCAACAGCTCAAGCCATTTCGCATATTCAAGCTACAATTATATGCACGATGTGTTCAGAGATCTACCCAGTGTGCTAGAGGTAACTTCTTCATACTAGACCCTGTTTAGGCAGCGTGCCTAAACATTAGTGCGCAGGCCTGTTCACTTTCTTTTCTATTCCAGTCCGTGGACTGGACTTTGTTTGGTTTCCCTGGCCGCAAAGGTGTTGACAGCACGTTGTGGCTTGGAAGTGAAGGTTCAGACACTCCTTGTCATCAAGACACCTATGGGTATAATTTGGTCGCTCAGTTAATTGGCAAGTAAGATGATTTTCATGGCTTCTTTTTGGCCTGCAACAAAACAGTGCAGTGCATACAAACAACTTTTGACCGTATATAGATGACTTGCATTTACGTCACTGAAACTGCCCTGTTGGAGCACTAGCTTTTGGAAGGATGCGAAGCTTGCAATGTCACATTAATTTTAACACAAAAGTGTTTGATGCCAGGGCTCACCGAGACTTCAGTGACTTGTTTCTGTCATGTAAATGACGTTGAAAAAATTTGCACAATTAGAAAGTGAAGAAAAAAGTTCCGTCAATGAAATACCAACTCACGACCTTTTGGCCTTTGGCATCAAAGGCCAGGAGTGCTACCGACTGCGCCACGACCACATACTCTGGAAGCATTACAAATGTGGGTTTCATATTTGATGCATCATGACCGTGAGATCCACGATTCGTTCTTCGACGCATTATTTCTATGGGTCTGTCCCATTCGGGGAGTTTTCAAAAGAAGTAGAATCTTGATGATGCTAAGTGGCAACATTGCCCCTAGCATCAGCCTCACTCATAGAATTAATTCATACCAAAAATAGCTCTGCGTCGCCTGGCTGTAACTCTGCATTCTCCACTGATGCTCGCCCCGCGAGAAATTGCAGCGGGCCAACAGCGTAGACACGACGCGCATTGCTTCTCTCTCTTGTCTAGTAGTGACATTCAGTACTCTAATATGCCGCAAGTAGGCGACCGTATCTCAAGTCTGGCGTCGATTCAGTGATGGCTCTCTGGGCTGTCTCCCCACTTTCTCCAATTCCATTCTCACTCGTAACTTCTACAGCTACCTTAAGCATCTATGACCGCCACAAAGGTTTGCTTAATCATTGGTCATGGACGTTAGTCATATTCGAGATGAATCACTAAGCATCAATGTGGCTGCGTTCACCTTAAATGGTACTGTAGCTGTCGAGCATCAAGACATTGCACAAGCTCTCCTATATGAATGTACAGTAAACATACAACTGCTTCTGGAAGGGTAAGTTTCACTTTCATGCTGTACCGATTTTTATGATGGAGGAATCAACCACTTTTTTATCAAAACATCACCTGCTGGTTATTTTGCTATTGACGCACAGTAGCATTCCTGCCACGTCAATATCACACTAAAGCAGGTTAAATGCAGCTCATCGATGTTGCTGTCGTTTACGTCCCAAAATCATGTTATGATTTTGAGAGATGCTATAGTGGAGGTCTCCGGAAATTTTGACAATTTGGTGTCCTTTAACATCCTCCTAAATCAAAGTACATGAGCATCAAACATTCAACCTTTGTCAAAATGCCATGGATGGAATACAGTTCCAGGATTTTCGGGTGAACATCATAACCACCAGACCACTATGGAGCATCTTGGAGTACATCAAGAAGCTCTAATGTCTTGTGCAATTTATCATTAAAGTGGGACCTTGTTCAGGAAAAAAAATTGTCATAGAAAATGCTATAACTCTACTATAAGACAAACACGTGTTCAGTTATTTGCTTAACACCAAATGACCTCAGTGCAGATACTGCATCGTGGGAGAAATGTGTGAACAAGAGAAATTATGCAAAAATTAGCCCATCCAATATGAACACACCAAAACTAAGAACAGTTCATGAGTGTCACTTGGGAGCATGACTCAAGAAAGGAATAAAGGAATTCGAGCTGTCTCTAGCATGTGTTTACATGAATAGTGTAGCTGATATAGTACACAAAAAAAATCAAAACATTGTCAAAATCAAAGCCCACATCATCGTGACAAATGGGTGTGTGTACACTTTGACTGTGTTTCATACTTCCGGTGAGCTGTGCTCTTCTTGTAGCTCTTTCACCATGAGCAGTTGCTAGCGAGCACTTGTCAACTTCCTCTGTTTTGACTATTGCCATCTTTGACGAACCTAACCCGGTTGCCCTCGTATTCACCAGTGGCCCATTTGATGAAGTTGCCACAAGTTTTTCAGTTCTTCCACGTGGAATACTTTCATGGCATTATTTAACCCAGGCTTCAACGGTGCGTTTGTGCAGGAAGAAATCTTCCGCTGGTGTAAGAATTCAGTATTCATCGAACGTTACTATTTGTTTGTGATGCACATTGCCTCATAAGATGAAAAATCCTTGACCACTGGGCGTTTGAAGGCAAGTTTCGAGGTCTCAAGTCAAGACAGCAACTGTCTGAGCTTTTTGCTTCGATATTGCCTCATACTTATTCAGTTATCATGGATAAATTGATAACCTGACCAGTAGCACATCTGCACCTTCAAGCACTATGCTTAAGTGGAACATTTAATGCAGCAAGGCTCAGGAGAACATTGAAGCTTAAAGAGGAGAAAGTTTAGAACAGTGGGTGTTGCTGACAAAGTTCTGATAAGTGACCTAGCTTTCTTCAAGGCCTCACTTAGTGCGTGTGTGATAGTGCATGCTTTCTACCCTCTCCCCAAACAAAAACACGAGAGAGGGCAAGTTTGAAGGTGGCATAGAAGGAAGGGCTGCTGTTCTGAATTAAGTTAAGGGAAAAATGAAAGAATTAGTTGGAAAAAGGGATCATGCGCTCCAAGTATCAGTTGATGCCTAAATATTAGTGAGCAGGTCCCTCTTGAACATTCCAGGTGTTTCCATAGATAATTCCTTGTCAAGCAGATCCCAGACAGTATTCAGCAGTACCACACCTACTGAACCGCTATAAATATCTCTAAATGATCATTTACATACCTTCTACCTATCCTGAAGCTATTGAGGCAGTCTCGAAGACCCTAATAGAATGATAGCAAATGCAATGCAGTAGTTTACCTCTCATTACAAAAATTTGACCTCGTGCTTATTTTAAATGTTGATTCAACCTACTCCCTGCAAATCACTGGCACTAGTATGGGAACCCCCTTTTCCACCAGTGTACGTATGGGGTAATTAGAATTGCAGCTTATGAGATAATTTCTGCTGAAGCTTTTCATTTAGCTCCGCTACAAAGACGACATATTTATTACATGAGAAGAAGGCATAAGTGCACTCAACAGATTCATTGAATACTTTAATTAGTTTCTCTCAAGGGTGCGTCTCTCATAATCATATGGTGGCTTTGGAACGTTAAACCCCACAAATCAATCAGTTTCTCTCAAGGCAGTGAAGTGGGCTAGTTGGTTTGAGTAGCTTGTAATCATATTCGTAGCACAAAAACCAAACGCAGACCAAGTTAGCAACACATGCACAGGACGGGGGCATGTGTAGACATCAACTGATTTTTATACTAAAAGACAACTTGGAAGAGCAAGAAACTGTCGGACGCGAGCGCATGTGCACCATCACACACTCTTATAACTGCAGCTTCACATGTTGTCACCTAACATGTGCAAGATTTGCTTCCAGATATTCAACCTCTTTACGGGAAAAAGGGACCGACAGAACACTGGCACATTTTCTTTCATTCTCACCGATAGCAAACGCTTCCATGATTTCTCACATTGCCTGTTCCGTGCCTTTTCTAAGCAGACTTGTAGTGGTCAATTCTGGAGCACAACTACACCTGCGGTGTTAGTTCACCAAATGTTCCCCCGCTGCCTTTGCTTCAGCTGCCACTCAGTGCTCTTACAATCTGTCATTAAGACAGCATCTGCCACAGGAAAGGGGTATCTGTCCCTGTTTATAGGCGATAAAGAGTTCATGGTTACATCTCTGTCAGTGTACCGTGAAAAAAGCAAGAGAATGAAGACCTTCAAAGTTTCAAGTGTTGTTCCAGCAAAGGCTAAGTGGTAGCACTATACAGTAAGTTAATCTGTGCATCTAGGAAAGAGTGAACTTGCTGCTAAGAAAAGGTTGCTTGAGATTTTTTTGCAACACAAACTTGTGAAGATAGCGTTTCCTTGCACTCGATCATCAAATACAAGGGCGCATGGCAAGTTGAGGTTTCCAAGTTCCTCAAGTGGCATTTGTCTAATCTGAAGGTCACAGATCCTTTTTGGGTAAAGAACCCTGATTTTTTCAGAGTCAGTTTTGCCTTTTTCTTTGATGCCAAGGATTTTTTTTTATTCCTGAGCGAGAAATTCTGAGTGTGGTAAAAGATCCCATCGAGAAGTTCGACTCAGAGTTTGTTAGAATTACTATTTCTACAGCGAAAGCTGTTATGAGATCACAACTCGGGTCACATGCAGTTGTCTGCCACCGCCCGAAACCACATTGCGCGAAATTACAAAAAAAAACCCTAGCACCAACGACAGTGGGGCTCGAACTTGGGTTCGTTGGGTGCCAGTCTGGTATTCTACCATCGAGCTACGCTGTTTTTTTTCTTTATTTCCAGTTAAACTTCACACACGGGGTGCTAACATAAAGATATTACAATGCACAACAAACATAACAAAAATTAACTACGGCCGTCAAGCCTTACTATAACACATCACGTCCTGAAATGCCTTCATGGTCAGTAGGGCTTCTACCCTTTCTAACCATAAAGGTACACATCTGTTCTTGCTACTTTGAGAAACATAGAGATACTTTCTTTAAAATACTCTCTTGCTGGTCTCGTGTCAGGGCCACAGTGATAATCAGCCATTCTAGAGCGCCATATACCGTGCAAGGCAGTCATTATGATACAATTGAATGGTAATCCATCATCATTCTATATTGCCAAATATCTGATTCCATGAGGGTCTAACAGAAGCTTTTTAAATTGTCGTTTGTAGTACGTCTCAAAAGAAAACTCCTTCTCAACAGAGCAGGAAAACGTGGTCAATTGTTCCCAGTTTTTTGCAGATTAGACAGCGAGATCCCCCGCATATAAAACCCACGCTCCTCTAGGAAGGTTCTTACAGGAAGTGTTCTGGTGTGTAATTTAAAAAAGAACATTCTTGCAGTTAAAGCTGCCGGCCTTTTTTTGACTCGTTTAAGTACATTCTGACCTTTGCGTCCTGCATATAGCACTCTGTACAGTGGGATGGGATGGGGAGCATCGTGTCACATAAATCTTTGTACAGTTTTTTCTTTCCAACAGACCACAGGCAGTCAGTCGAAAAAAATGA